ACTCAGCTTCCCAATACACAGGGATATCGTGAAATGACTGAATAAAGGGCACAGACAGGCTTTTAAGCTTGAAGAGACATCTCACAAATAGCAGAACACCGCAAAAAGCAAAATAATGCGTCGAGGGGGAATCGAACCCCCGGCTCCCCGACGCTGCTTGATGGCAACGGAGAATTTTACCACTAAACCATCGACGCTGGGTATTGATGGTTCGAGTTGGTGACTCGGATGCTGGTTGGCGACGAAAATGACACTGAAGTTGAGAGGCGGGTGGGCAGGTGCTGTTGTGTGTGTTCGCGGATTAAGATTGTGGAGGATGAGGGTTCACGAAGTCCACTCGGTCCACTTTTACCTTGATTGGACTCAAATGATGTTGTCCCCACTCCGAAAAAGGGGGCACTCAAACTTGAGTAACTTTGCAGGTCTTGTGCAGTGATTTCATGTCTGATTTTAGCCTCATTGTTCTTCGCTGCGACTGCGAAGGCAACAGCTGACGGAGAGACGGAAACGGATCTGGCGATACCCTATCAGCTTGGAACGAGCTTGTAGAAAGTTAGAGATACTCTGATTTCAGATTAAGTAGGTCACTGCGCAAATCAGACGCGGTCACGCCGTGTGCTAGTGACCACAAGGCACATCGCATTTGACGTCCGTGGCTGCCTGACGGCAATTTGCACCAAGAAACGGACACAAGCGTCTAGCGCATCTACAGAGGGCGTCTAAAACTACAGACAAAGCACTAAAAGTTGTCATCGGATGTTGGTGCTACGCTGTGATTCGTGATACCTCAACTGTGTTGGTGTGCTCTGTGATAGGGCTGACTCAACCATAGGTTTCGGCAATGCGCCTCGTGACTTGAGACAATGAGGCTCAAGTTCAAGCCAAGCCGGAAGTAAATGAGAGTTTCAACGTCATCAGCTGATCTAGCTGATGTTACATGTAGAAAACTGAAAATCCCGTTTGACTATAACATCAGGATCAGTTTCCCCGTGCCACGTTGGAGCAGAAGCCTTGTGAGACGTCTGTCATACATGGGCAGCTAATTCATCTTGATATATTGCCCTCGTAGAGGCTGCTCACACCATTACGGCGACTAATGGTTGCAGTGATTCCTCTTGTGCGAGTACCATTTGCTTCACCTAATCTGGCAGGGTTGTATGAAGGTCGCAACAATGACCCATTCATACAAGGAAGATCACAATCGTGAAGTCATCGGTCGCATGATCATGTCACCATGGTAGAGATTGTGAGACCAGCCACCAGGTAGAGCTAGGTTCTCTACAGCTGAATGTCACAGAGCTTGAGAAGCTACGATCAGCAGCCAGCTAACAGCTAATAGATCCTTCAGCTTACATGGACTGCTATCAAGGTCACTTTCGCAGCTCCTAAACTAAAGGTAGTGATGTTTCGACATCGTCCAGAGATGATAGTAATGTATGTCATTGATTTGAATTGAGGGACTTACTGGTAGTAAGGACCATCGAAAATAGAAGAGAAAGGGCCAAGTTGAGAGGCAGCTTTCGAGGACGACCTGATACTAGCGCATGATAAATCCTGAATGGGCTGAAGAAATGGGGAGGTCTTCCGGATCAACTTTGGCGACCAGCAAAGTTCATTTACCGCGATGAAAATATGTGGATAATCATGATACAGAATTCAGGGGGAAAAGTATGAAGTAAAAGGAACAGTACTACGAGGTATCCATACCCGGAATGATTCTTTCGTTCTTACGAGACCGCAGCGAAATCAAGAGACACGCGCTGAGACCGGTGTGTTGGAGAACATGACCATACAGCATCTCTAACAATTGCTCGAAGAGCTGCAAATGTAAGAAAACAGACAATGGTAGCAGCATGATTTAGCGTGACTCATGTGCTGTGGATAATCAAAAGGAGTTCTTACAAGGAAGCCTCGCTGCCCGCGGGGAACCTAAAATCAACCGTTTCTGTGAGGGTGAACGATGCGCTTTCAACTTGAGTTTTCAGACTCCAGCTGAGCCTCTTTCACACGGTCTTATTTTAGAATTTTTCGCCTTCGAGGATACCCGCCGGTATCCTGTGGCTTGCAGATCGAAACGTTTTCGCAGAAGCTTGCGCCTCTCCCTTAAACACTCGACCAGCGCGGACCCAAATGTACGCTACTCTCTGGCTTGATCCTAAATTCGGTTAGAGGGGAACCCCGAAATCGAGGAAGTGGCGTCGCGGGCCGCGCCAAAGCCGCATTAGACCTTTTCCGAATACCCCGGCGCCCCGAACGGGGAGCCGAGTCTTGCCGGATTCGGATACGAAGTAGACATCGACGTCATGAACATGCCTTTCAGGGACGTTGGTCGGACTCAATTCACCCGGCGACTTGACCAACGTTACGTTACCTTATTCTTAGCGTTCAAAGACCGAGAATCGCTTCAACGTGCTGGCTTCCTGTTCTCCCTTAGCGATAGAACTTAGCCGCGAAGCCGACTTAGGCGAGGTCTATCGTGTCCTTGTGTCATTAGCGATGTCTCATCGCCCATTGCCACAGCCCCTTGACACAAGTGGTGGATCTCGTATAGACTCAGTGGTCCACCGTCCACAGACGGGCGAGGGAGAGGATCGGTGAAGGTCTCACCGCCACGAGATAATGAGCTGGGTAACCTGTTGAGCACCTGCCAATGTAGACGGGAAAGTCTACTGAGCCCAGTGGGTTCGAGTTACGATTTATCGGAGCCCCAGTTGACAGTTGGCAGAAAGGTGTGTCTCTTTCGCTTCCCGGCTTCTTGCAGAATTGAAGCCGATGGAAATCTCTCGAACTCCAGGCTGAAAATCCTCTTCCGATCTTCAAGCAGCTTGAATGGTCAGTCACAAAACATAAACAGAGACAACAAATCATGACCTCAAGAGAGTCCACGCTCAGGATTTCGGCCGAGCAACAAGTCATGCATAGAAGGAGACCCCTGCCATCGACATGCCAACGCTCCAAGCTTGGCAGGGAGAGTGGGGTCGGCCAACTGCACGCTGCGCGCAGGAAAATCGGCTTTGGCCCGGTTCATCTGAGCTGCGGGAAGAAGCTTGGCGTGCGTAAGGCTCGCTCGGTCAACCTTCTGGGCTGAAAAAGAAGCCTCCGGGGAGCTAGTTTTCTCCGAGGTTGGGGGAGTGATGATCGCGCGACAGGGGTGACTTTGTCTGCAAGCTGCCCAAAATAGATAGATTAAAAGTTGACAATCGTCCCATCATGTGTCTTGAGGCGGGGAAAGTTGTGGGGTGATCCAATCAAAAGGCTATGCGTACGAGGGTTCGTCTAATCATACAACATAAGCTGCCAAACCTTGAGCCCGTCGTTAGAGGGGGCTTTTCTGGATCCATTGTGGACATGCGGGAGTTTAAGCCTGGGGGTCTTTTGAGGGAATTCTAGGTGTTCCCGCAATTGAAGTTGGGAAGCCCCTTTTCCATGTTATGCCATAATCAACATTGGCTGTGATTGTACATAGTATTGGAGATGCTGCATGTTATGGTAAGGGGGCGCGGTTGATGTGTTTCATTATGCGCGCTCTCGCCATCAGAAATTCCTATTTTGCGCATGGCAGGAAACTGTAAATTGAACAGGGCTATTATCGAGTAATTGGAAGTCGACTTCTCCGTTGTTTATTTTGCATAATAGACGTCATATAGGGGTTGGAGGCTATGACGTTTCACCTCAAGACTAATTCGGGAGTCGGGTCAAATACGAGTTCGGCAGTACCGGGGTCCACCGATCGCCGTTGGCGATCGTCATTGCCCCGGTGGATAGCCTCCCGACTCCTCGTATTATTCAAGATTTGGTTGCAATCAAAGTGATATATAAGGTTGACAACTTCGCAAGTTATCATGGTAATTTCGATCTGTATCACACACAATCAATCATCTAACCACAACCAACTCACAACACACAACAACCTATTCTTTAATCACCCAAACAAACACCAAAACCACCACCACAACCTTCAAAATGCAGTTCGCCACTCTTCTCGCTTCCGCCTCCGTCGCTGCCGCTGCTGCCATCAGCAAGCGTGACGTTACCTTCAAGGTCACCAACTTCGGTGCCGACTGCATTCCCCACAGCACCCAGTGCTCGTAAGTCTTGACAACTCTGCAACATCCTCTCACACATGCTAATAACCTTCTAGTTACGGATTCACTGTCATCCAGCCCGGTACCATGGAGACCACCGGCGTCAACTGCACCGCTCTTGTCCCCGGCAACACCGACGGCACTCTTCCCGATGTCAAGGAGGGCACCTGCACCCTTTCCTCCCGCACCTTCGACGTCGTCCGCAGCGCCGAGGGTCTCACCCTCACCGTCTCTCAGCCGGTTACCCCCAGCAGCAACCAGACTGGCTCTCACCTTCTCCCCAACTCCGACTTCGAGATCTCCAACCAGCCCAACGCTGTTGTTCAGCACTACACTGGTGCCCGCTCCTTCGATCTCGAGTAAATACTTCGCCTTGTTCGATTTTATTAAAGAAGAAGCTCTAGCGACGATAGGAATGGGTGTGCCTTACACCATCATTGGGAGGATGGCAAAAGATTGTATAACACATGTTTCGATAGAGTGAAAGATACCATCATAGAATTCAATTGGTTACCTACCTTATGCACAATTTGTTAGCCTCACACATTGCATCCTAAACTCTCAGTTGATAATTGAACACCAGATCAGTCGCGCGGCAAGTTGGGATTCGCTGCCGTTGTTCCACTTAACTGGCTCCAGGTTTCCATCATTTTGAGCCAGGCTATGGTCACTTCGAACCCATTGACACTGTTACATCAACTTCTCAGAGTTATTGCTACTAGTAGCGATGATTTAAGGAGAGACTGTCAAATCATATTATCAAATCAGCCTAACGAGTGACAGAACCGGGCAGTAAACCATAAGTTGGAGTTTGAATGAAAGTACCGAGACGCAGACAGGTGCAAACACAATCCCTAAAATCCACCATCTTCATTTCCTAGCCTTATCGTATTCGGTCCTTCACTATACATCTTCTCAAGAGCTAAGGGCGGTAAGATTCGAGTAAGCCGCCTGTACCTCAACCGACTTAGCTTTCAGTCCATCATCCGTCATAGACGTCATCTTGGTGCTGATTTGATTACTCAAATCAACGACAGCCTGAGCATATGCGATGTCGGCTGTCAGAAGGGCCTGAACAGAGTCCAAAGTCTGAGCCTGCTGCGCCGTTTTGACGAGAGGTACCATCTTGTCTCGCTGATCGCCAAGGCTAGAGACGTCGTTTTGGAGGATCTGGAATAGCTGGATATCGAATCCGGCAGCCGAAATGGTACCATAAGAAGCGCGGTTGTCGTAGTGGGCAGCCTGCCACTTTGACCAAGTATCAAGAGCATCTTGCAGGGTTTTGCCCGACTTGTTGACGGTGCTAATAATGTTGGTAATTTGAGCCGTATCGGTATTATTTGATCCGGGTGCAGCAGCGGCTTTATCGAACGCCATTTGTAGGATCTTCGTGCCGGCAGTGAACAGGGCGCCTTTCGCTAGCTCGACACCGACGAAGGAGCCAAAGGTCTTCGCTGAAGCCCACACGTTCTTGAACTTCGTGGCCCATTTGGACTCAAGCGCTGCAGCATTCTCCTCCGCGTCAGGGGCACCGTCTTCAAGTTCTTTGGTGACCTGCTTCATTTCGTTCTGGCTTTCCTCCATTCCATCTTTCACATCCCCTTCGATGTTTCCACTGCCTTCAGTAATATCACCTGTGTCACCCCCGATATCGATGCTATCGAGGACCTCGCTGGCTGACCCAACGCTTTCAGCGCCGGCCTCGCCAGCCTCGCCGGCATCAGCTCCAGCATCCTCGGCACCATCTCCGAGGACATCGACCATATCTCCGAGAAAGCTCATGTTGAGTAGGGTTCTTGGGGTCTGAGTGCAGTGGTAGATATCAATGACGGATCAGAATAACAAGGTAGTATTGAGCGGCGAGTGTAATCTTAATCCTGAATACTTTGGCAGGGATAGTTCCAAGATTGCTTCTGATCGGAGACATTGAACCTTATATAGCTTTTCAGTCGCCTGTTTCTGGAGAGGGTATGAACTCGACAGACGACTACAGCTAGTGAAAGTCATGCGCGGCGGTATTATTCATCCCCTTTTGTGCCACTTCCACTAAGTTCAAGCCTCGAATCAGCCGCACTCCTGCCGACTTCCCGAAGCAGATACGAGATCACGCGAATATAAGTGATCTTGCTTGATGCAACCATCACATGTACGAGATTATTACGGAGTCCAAAACGGAATCTGAATCACATTCATCTCTCGTAGGCGGTAAAATCCGCATTGTTGTCTTCTTTTGCGGATGTTCCCAGTTTTCGTTGTCCAGCATCTGCATCCCGCAAGGCAGACGGAACAGTCTTCATGATTATTCAGAGGTCGCTGATTGAGAGGGCAAGACTTTCAGTTGTTTTGAAGCATGTAGAAGCATTCTATTCAAAACCACGACTTACCAATGCTTCATTTCAATATTTCAAACGGCAGGTAGCTTTCTTACTGTTGACCGAAGACGCATCTTATCAGAACGAAGTCCCTAAATGATCGAGGAACATTTTTCGACTTCAAAATCCGTGGCTCCAAGCACTTGTAAGAGCACTGTTTGGTGCTGGATTCTCCCAAGACATGATCATCTGGTGAATCTCAGGTCTTCTCACCACCTCTCCCTAACGTACCACGCGTGCTCGGTCTCTGGGTAGTCCATTTTCTGCAATCGTCCACTTCGTGATGTGACGAAACTTTTAGTGAACACAGCGTTGCCCAATATCACAACGCCACCTACTAATTCGGAATTCGCTAGTATATCATCATGGTCGGAATTGCCGAGGCTTCTGCCCTTCGAACATCACACAACACCAAAGTCTTGCTATGTGATATCTCTGATTATCTTCGCCAAAAGCGGTATAAAACCGAGTTCAATAAGATAGGATCCAAATGCAAGGTGACGTCGATTGGGCTGCGTTCGTGACCCGGACAAGGGGCGGATCCTGGACCATTTACAAGTATCTGGCATACTTACTGTGAATGGGTTTCTGGAAAGAAATCTTGAAATTCATCACTAAAAACCGGGTTCCAGAAAAAGGCAGGTTGAAAATGATGTCTTGAATACCATTTCAACTGCGACATATGAGGAGGAATATCATATGAGGCTGACCGTTTGAATTTTGACATCACATCCCTCTATCTCTGGGTCCTGCCAGTGACCTAGCGATACTCCCTGCTCATCTTAATACTTTATGTCAGCGATCGACCACCACAAATCTTGCATTAAACCTAGTTATGCAATACATGAAAAAGCAATGAAAGGCAATCACATTGTGTTGGTATCCCTATTACAGGGTAGTTGGTTCGAACCGTGGGTTGACGAAGAGATCAATTGAACTATCTGAATTTCTGCGTAGGTGTAAAAAGGAGGTTCCAACCGTAGGTTGGGCTGGCTACGATAATCGTAAATAGGGCCCCCAATTGGCCCCTGCGCAGCTGGCCGTATGCCGCGGTCGAATTGGACTTCCAATCCGACACATTGGCATGTTCTAGTTCAACAGCCTAAGACCAGGGCTTAGGCTATGTGCTCGGCCTGGTTACCCTTTCCGGAAGCGCGGGTTTGATATTCACTTAGACCCTAGAAATGGTTCCCGTCCAGAGCGGACCACCAAATTGGAAGACATCGCTACTAGATCCACCTTGAAGCTGTCACATCAAGACTAAACCTTTGGCGGCTCGTGATGCTGAAATATCTCCACATATCGTCTTCAGCCAGCCTTTCGACATAAGCCCTAGCTGATCTCACGACATTTGTGGTCTGATTCACTTCACCCAACCCCTTCGGTGTCTCGTTGACTCACTTGTAGTTGGCGGAGAGCTGAATCTGTAAAGCTGCAAAGCTGCGCAGCGAATGCAACAGTGCAACTTGTAAGAGCGGAGATCTCCCTGAACACAACATCAGTGCTTGATGAAAACGTATGAGAATGGCTTGTCCCTCAAGTTCGGAGAATTTTGCTTCTTGCCCAAAAGAAAAAGAAAAGGATCAATTCACATCAGGTGGCTCAAAAGTTTCCGAAACCGTCTTGATGGTTCCAGCTATGATTTCAGCACGGCGGATTTGAATGAGATTGTGCGCATCGCGAAGATGATATACGAGTGGCCGGGTGGTGAACATCATACTTATAGAACTCGTTGCAGAAAGCATAAATAGGCAGTCTTCTCGGATCTCCAACAGGAACTTCTCTGAAATATTCAGATAACACATACATCATAATCATACTTCTTCAACTTACTAAGATCTCTTCGAAGTTCTTTGGTAAGTTAGCCGACAGCAACTCCAACATCGGAAAGTCTCTGGCACTTAAAGTCTTCTGCTAACTCTATTCAACATCTCAAGCCCTAATCTCAACATGGCTTTTCTTCTGGAACTCATCCCCATCATTGCTGAAGCCGCAGAGGCCGGCGGAGCAGCTGCAACCGTAGCTGAGGCAGCAGCCCCGGAGGTCGCCAGTGTTGCTGTAGATGCTGGTGCCGCTGCATCCGAAGGCGCCGCAGCCGGAGTAGACACTGGCGCGGCCGGAGCAGACGCTGCAGCGGATGCCGCTGCTCAGGCAGTATCCAAAGTCCCCGTTTTCGACATGACCACGAGTGGGACAACGGCCGGAGCCAATGCGGCTCGAGAGGCCATCATGCAAGGGGCCATACAGTTTGGAAAGTGGGCAGCCAATGAGGCAGCTAAGCAGGCTCTATTCTATGCTGGTATGAAAGCTGCCGGTGCACTCTTTCAGGCTGCCGCGGCCTCCTCTCCAAACGATCCCGCGATTGCCGCTCTTGCTGCCAAATTCAATCAAACAACCGCAGCAGTGAATGCTTTGCACACCACTACGCAAGACTGGGCGCAGTGGTCGACAGCCCATTACGATAATAGGGCTTCTTATGGCACGGTAAATGCCGCGGGGGCCAATCTGACACGGTTCGAGATTCTCCAATACAATCTCGGCTCTCTGGCCGACGCTCTCGGCCAGAATGTTACACCCGCTCTGGTAACCTTCAACACTACTAAGAACGAAGCAAACTTGGACACTCTTCGGACTGCCCTTTTGGCATACGCACAGAATGTCAAAGGGCAAAGCGATTCAATCACGAACAATGAGCAGGCCATGGTTTCCGATGGGCTTCAGGCTCACCAAAGCGATGTAGCTGGGGCGATTACATCACTTACTTAGCTACTCATGGGGTGCAATGTGCAGGTTTTTTGGAACGTGATTTCCTGCTTAAGTAGTGCTAAGGTAGAATGTGTAAACTTTACCCCTACTAGGTAGACAAAGTGCAATCCTATCAAGAGAAATGAGGCAACCAATCATCATAATACTCGGCCGTTCCATAGGGCATTATGGCGTTTGCAACAGGCTGTGCCCCACCACCCAGATGAAGCCACGCAATGTAATTCGTTGGCGGCGGTTGCGCTCAGAGCCTGATCGCATGCTTACTTCTCCCCAATTAGCCTTCCATCCCCTCTTAACTACCGATAATGTCCTACCGTGCTTCTCGTTTAGTTCTCTGACTCAAGTTCAACAGCAGCAGGGTACAAGAACCGTAACAGAATTGAACTGCGGCGCCGTCATCTCCCGCCACGATATTCATATCATTCCAGGGGTCCCCTACTTCAGTTTCAAGCCTTTACTTTGATGGCAGAATCGAAGCTGAAGACAACTTCTTAAAGTTATGGATCCTTTATCTGTGTCCAGTGGTGTTGCCGGTCTGATTTCGCTCGGACTTACGGTCTGCAAAGGCCTCAGTGCCTTCTGCCAGGATTACAGGTCCCGCGACATTGACATCATCAACCTCAAGAATCATGCGCAAAGGCTAGACTCATTCCTTCAGCTGGTACAAACTCGTTTTCAAGCAAGTCACCAAGTCGACTCGGCGCTGTCCTTGTCTTTGCAGAACTGTTTTGATGCCTGTCAGGGATGCGTTCGAGAGTTTGAAGCCCTCTCTAAAAAGCAAAGCCGTTCAACAGGGCCGAAAGGGCTCAAGGAGCATGGCAAAGATGCTTCGAGACATTTGCAGTATCCCTTCCAAAAAGCCAAGTTTGACAGGCTAAGGGCAGAATTGCAAGAACTTTACACCGCCATGACACATTATCTGCTTCTGATGAACTAGTAGGTTTCAATTGAGGATATGTCAGAGAATACCCAGCTCTTCTTAGGTACTAACTTTAGTTTCTATTCAGTGACCTTACCAACGAGCTACGACAAAGCGCGATGTCTCAATCCGCAAAACTAGCTTCGCTTCTGGTCTCAGAGAATCAGCAGACAGTGAGCCAAATAGGTGCCTTGTTGCATGCTGTAGAGAGGATGGTCGATACAAAGCTAATTGGACTCGAGCAATTGTCAAACGCGCGCCTAAAGCCGATTTTGGATTTGACTAAAAATTCCGAAGGAGATTCCTCCTTTCTCTTACCCAAAAATGAAACAGAGAACCCAGTAGTATTCTCACAGAGCTCCTCGGAATGTCACAACGATACCACAAGCTCGTCACACTCGATACCCACGGGCCAACCAAACAGCATCGAGTCTACGGGAATAACTCCCTTCAATACCGAGGATCGTCAACCGAAAGCTTTACGTTCCACAGAAGCAAATGGTGACTTTGCAACAGATGGATACGGGTGTTCTTGCAGGGCAAGCGCTCTCTCCGAATGGCACTATCGGTCCAAGTTGCGTCAAAGAGATCATGACAGCCACTGCGAACTTTTCTTCATGAACTCCAATCGACGAGCCATCAAGGGAACACTCCAGATTTTCAGCACCCTACTCTCTTGGAAAGTCCAGTTGCAGTATTCGCAGCGGATGGTTATCCGAGATTTCCAAGTTCATCCTACAATGACAGCTCGGTCATTGGTACCAGACGATGCACCTTCTTTCGTGGTTGTCAATGGACTCGTTGAAAAAACCATGTTACACAACATTGCAGAAGAGTCTCTACAGGCTGCGGTATTATCTGCCCTCAGAGATCTACGCTGTCTATTTAGGAATGGCAAAGCCTGGCCAAGTGATCTTAACTCCTTCGACCAAACCCTTCTTCACGTAAGAGAACTCTACAAAGTATCTAAACATACAAACCATTCTAATTATAATAGAGAGCTTGTAATGTTAATGGCCACCTGTGGTCAGATCGAATGTCTGCAATCTGGATTCAATTCATGAAGCAGCTTATACTTATGGGTGTGCCCCTCAACGAAGCTACTGCGTATCAAGGGTAAGGTCTCTTCGTACCCAAACAAGACTTAGAAGTGTGACTAATTCAATGCACTCAGGTCAGCTCTGCATTGGCTTCTTGAGCTCCGTAGAAGGGCGCGAGTTGCACATAAGAAGGTTACCTTAACAGGCCTGGCGACAGGCTCATTAAGTCTTGTCAAGGGTTTGCTTGAATTAGGTGCCCAATCTATAAGTGCAGAAGCCAAGGGAAGAACTTCTGTCTCTGAAGGTAATCTTCTGCAACTACCTGATATCTATCAAAACCTCTCGTATTATGTCGACGGTAAGCACAAGAGTCACTCTTGGCTCGTGCCTTTCTATTTTGATAGCTTCAACGTTAACGCTTAAAGGCTTTGACTACGGAGCCTTGTCTTGCGCGTTGCTCCAGAGGTCAGAAATGGCTCTCAGAAAGATACTTGCAGCGTCGCCATCCTCAATGACCGAGCGAGGTAATCTGGGCCAAACGCCCCTCCACGTAGCCACATACTGGCCTAGAGGCCTCGAGTTGCTATTCGAACTGGCCGGAGATTCTTGTCGTCAAATGATTGATTCTGAAGACGCCACAGAACTCACAGCAATTCACTCGGCCGTCCTACTGCATCAGGCGGATTCCGTCGAGTTTCTACTCAAGCAGGGAGCTACCATCGATCTCGAAAACACCGCGACGTTCTTCGGAAATCCTGGAGCTTCTGATGATTACCATCAGAGCGAGAAAATTATCAGCATCTTGAGTGCTGAATTGTCTTCTCGCAGGCGTAAAATGCTACTCTTCGCCCGTAGAAATCTGACTGAAGAAAGACTGTGCGACCTTGGTTTAACAGAGACAACAGTTCTTCAGGAGAATGCATTTGAGGTTCTTCAAGTACTCAGAACTTTCGGTATTGAGGTTCCGTCGATCTTTCAGAGGGTTCGGCGTGGGTCAATCTACCATTCTCCGATCATGAGCGCCCAATTAGCGGAAGCTCTGTATCGCTCCGGATTCGACAGGGTAAACTCTACTATGAATGGTTGCACTCCTCTCGATACCATGAGACTAGTCGGAAATACTATGGAAGCAAGTATTGACGATCTCGCGGAGTCCGTTACCTGGTTTCAGCAGCATGGGGTGGACATTGAGCATCCTATCCCTGTTTTCAGCTATGGATCAAATGACAGGATCATCCCAAGTACCTCAGCTTATACTACGCTTCACCGATTAGCTGCAGGCTTTGGCCATGCAGCGAAGGATTCCTCGTCTTGGGAAAGGACTGATTCACGGCGTTCTTCAACGATCTCCCTGCTCTCAGCTATCCTGTTGAGCAGCTCTAGAGACAACTGCAAATGCTATTGCTCGACGGGAGGATGCAGTCCAGCCACTCTATTTGCCAAGCCTTGGAGAAAGTATATGTACAGCACCTCCGTTGAAGCACTTCGAGCTGTCTCCATGATGAAGAGCATGTGGGATATTCTTTCGGACATCGTGGCATTGTCACATCAAGAACATCGCCAGGCTTTATCAGACTTTGTACGTGTTACAACTTTTGATGCTCTCGGTATGAGCCATAGCTGCTGCGAGCACAAATTCGATCACTTTCTGAGATCCATCGACGTCAAAACTATATACGATCCTATATGGATGACAGCCCCGAACGAAGTAATGGAAATACAAGAAGAAGATCAGCATTTGGCCATTACACTGGACCAATTGATGGAAGACCTTGATGCCAAGTTGAACGAGCCAGATCTTGATCTTCGGAACTTTTGGTTGTATTGGTGCAAACGAGTAGATGAGGTTGAGGAATTCAAAGAAGAGATAGGTTGTGAGGATATTCGTGCGATCCGAGAAATCGGGGTTAACCTAGAGTGAGCCACTTCGGCATGGGTAATGTCTTGCGTTAACTTAGGTTGCTATTTACCGAGGGTGTGTAGCCTACACAAATTACTGTGTTCTCCATGACAGCGGAAAATCTCAAGGCTCTGGGGACTACGTCCAATCTCCAGATTTGGCATCAAATCCCCGGCCGTCAGAGAGCGGATGGATACAGGCGATTGTCCTGCCCTGACCTCAACACTGCTCATGCTTCGTCCTTAGGGTGTTCGCTGTGCCACCCCCACCACGGGTTGCGCTTAAGGGAAAGCCGCCTATCGGTAAATTTCAAGAAATCAGCCTAGAGACTGTTATCAAAGGGGCATATCAAACAAATTCTTCCGTCAATCAACTCAACCATAGTAATTGCTTCTAGTAGTCTCTGTTTGTTGGCTCACAGACAGTTTATGAGTGCAATTTCAGTGTTCTCTGATCAGTAGCATGGCTCGTCACGCCGGTGATTATGTCTACTCACCGAGCCCGACGGATCATCAACCCCTGTGCCAAAATGGACGTCCCTAGGTCCTTCGACAAAACCTTGAAAGATACGCAAGAATCTAGCCTCTTCTGTGTAAGATGCAGTGGAAAATAACTTACGTATTAATTATGGTTCCATGGATTCATCATTCATCTTCATACTTACCGTCTTGACCTCCTCGTTATCGATGGCAAGGGAACTTACCAACTCAAATTCATGACGACAATTACTTCGTCAAGCATTGGAGCGGTGATGGTGACTCGATAGTTCCGATGCTTCATTGCCATTTATCGAGATATACCGGACAGGAATTATAGGTACTCAACAGTGACTAGGTGGCTTGTTCATAGGTTCTTCTGACTAGCTTGAGTCAAGAAACGCCAAGTCGGATCGGCTCGACAACTTTTTCTCTTTAAACCTTCAGCCCCATCGCAAGAATGGAGTTGCGTAAGCCGCTGATTATCTTAACGGCTGATGCCCTGCAAGAATAGAAATTTAGAATCATAATACCTGCACGCGATTTATGACCGAGCTCTTCCGCGGCTGGCCCGCAAGCAACTTGTAAGCATGGTCACTTGCTCGAACGTGCTCACCTATCTCCTAAAACTCAAAATCAGAATCAGTCTACAACAGCGCTGCCACGACCCGTAGTCAAGTCCTTGAAAACCTCGAGTAGACGACGATCAACGACAACACACATAGACCCAAAAGACTACGAAGTCTGGATTTACAGCAGACGGCTTGTGCTTGATATGGAAACGTGCAAGAAATCTACAAGGTCAGTCGTTGTCTTCTGTAAGGCCTTGCATTGATTCGAATGCGGCTAGAAATACGGAGGCACCATTGGTGGGGCCGCAAGCGACGATCGTGGAGTGTTTGGTGATGTTAGCTCCCGTATTCTCGGCTTCTCCGTCATCCACATAGTGGCTCGCTTTATTCTTCGCAAAGCTAGATGCCCACACCGAGAGATTGACAAAACTCGGTGACAGCAATTCGCATTTCTCAAGCAGGTCTCAATGAAGTTGTGCTTGCCTAGAGACGGGGTATCAAGACATATCACAGAACACGTTGTATATAATATGATGCTCTACCTCCAGCCAGCTCGGATAAATCACTGAAGCCGGTAGACACCTTCACACAAGACCTCCGCCCTTCACCTGCCTTCATTCTACCTCCTTGCAAGCACATCCGGCAATCGAAAAACACCATATCATACAACACAATGAAGTTCGCTACTGTACTCGGTCTCTTGTCATTAGCAACCGCCGTAACCGCAAAGCACTACTGCTTCGGCGGCTGCGTCAAGTGCTACTGCGGCGACATCCAGTACGACGACCACCGATGCTCCATGTGCAGCTGTAATCACAACGCGTACAAGTCCGACGACCCCAACAACAAGCAAGGCAACTGCGATCAGCCTGGCGGATTCCATCTCGGATGCGGTTATAACTCGAGCGGAAAGTGCAAATAAGGAGGCGTGAGTGGCTGTTGGCATGAAGGATATGCTAGCTCATGGTCCATGGAGAGTGTAGGAGCCACAACGTTTGAGCCGGTGTGCCAAATTTTCACAGTTGCCAGTCTGTGTAATGGGATCGAGTGCTGGAGCGGCATAGACCCATGGCCATGAAGAATGAGGCGACGTTGATGTAGGAGTGGCGTGCATCTTGAGGAATCCAGGGTTCTTGAATAGATTCATATGACATCCTTCTGGGCCTCTTGTAAAGACGCCTGGAGTGAATCTACCTACGCTGAACAACATTTTCTACGATCATGAGACGAGATCTAGTGCTGGCCGAGTCATTTACGAAAGGAAACTACATGGTATGTCACGGGCTGGTATCCCCGAGTCTTGGTCGCTTCATAGTCTTGACGTGAATGGAGTTCGGTAGATGGCCAATAGAGAGGCTTGAGAAACGGTTTGCGTTCGACTCAGTTGGCGGGTAGACTATACTAATGCGGCTACAGACGTAGGGTTTAGCTCAGATTGTTATGAGGCTGACATCTTTAGAGTTAAGTGATTTGCGAAGCTTAGTTGAAAGCAAGTCGTAAGCAAAGGCAGAAGCCCTGTTCGACTAGGTTGTGAAGGTCATGTAATACGCGAACTTGCACTTAAATCTAATGACAAGGAGCGTACTCAGCTTGAGGTGATTCTTCGGCGGAGTTACGGACTCAGTCCATCCGGACAAAAAGTGTCGTTATAATTGCGCGTCAACACCTTAAGTTTCCAAGTTTCCCTGGCACCGGTGGGATGCTTTCTGGAGTACGCTGCTGTTGATGAATTAGAGTTTGATTGCCCGTCTCAACGGCATAGGCCATGCTACCGACGGGATGGAAAGGAGGCAGAGCTCAAGAGGACACGACCTCGCTCGCCGCGGGCTGTCGCATCTTCTGCTCATCCAAACCTCTTCCGCCAAGACGAACACCCATCCGCATACGTGCACCAAACGCCAACAATGGTCGCCATCACCCTCCCGCTCCTCGCGGCCCTCGCAGCAACCCCGTCGCAGCTAGGCATCGTCTGCGCGCGCTTCAAAGAATCACTCGATCCATGGGCGCCCGTCGCCGCTTCCACCTACCTCTACTCCAAGGGCGGCGTTCCGCAGATGAACGACACCGTTCAACACTCTTCGTTCCGCTCCTACGTAGCCCTTCCCAACATCGGACGAGAAGGCCACACGCACCTGCACCACATTGTAAACAACTACGATACCCTCGACGAGATCATGATCTTCACGCAGGCGGATCCCTTTGACCTCATCGCGCCCGCTGTAAACACGACAGAGCAGATGGTGCAAAAGGCGATGACCGTCCCGGCCGACGACGTGACGCCCTTTAACGACGCGCTGTTCCACGATGTCGCGGACTGGGGCAAAGTCGACTGGAACAGCTCGGCACAGAAGCTGTGGATCACGGCTAACCAGATCAAGAGCCTGCAGCTTGCGCCGTACACGCCGGCGCAGTTTTGGACGATGGTGGTAGGCGGGGAGCATCCGCCGGCGATCCGGGCGATGCACGGCGGGACGTTTGCCGTTCGGCGGGAGACGATACGGAAGCTGCCCAAGGAGGCGTACCAGAAGGCGCTGAACGAGTTTGAGACGGCGAATTCGACGAATCCGGAGGTTGGCTTCTTCATGGAGCGCATGTGGGCGCCGATGTTCGCTGAGAAGTACCGATTGCCGAGCGTGCAGAATCCATGAAGGTGTTCATTCCGGTCGGGTCACCCCTTGAGTTTACGGAAGCAAAACATGAAGAAAACAAGAGACTGCGAGCAATAGAGCAATAAGATTCTGCTATTTGGCCAAAAATGCAAAAGAATACTCCTCGACGGGGAATTGAACCCCGGTCCCCTGCGAATCGTTGAATCTTCAATGACAAGCAGATATCCTCACCACTAGACTATCGGGGATTGGTGGATGTTGACATCCAGTGATAGTTGGTTGGAGGGAAGGCGGCCTAGTGTCTATATATACCCACTATAGAAGTTGCGCCCCCAACGCCGGGTCCCACCATGCCCACGTCGATTTCCGGAAGATCTCCAATTTGCAAATAATTCCCAAAACTTATCCTTTGAAGAAATTGATTGACTAGGTATTCATCATCATGAGCGAGTAGCCCTTTGTTTTGGTGCGAATTGCACTATCCCAACATGAATACACCGGCGAAAAGCCCACCCATTCATTCTATGGGCGTCCCACTTAGTCGCCTCTCCGAAAGCGACATCTCTCCTTCTCATGCGTATCTCGATACCACTTCGTCGTTAAGACCTTGGTGCAACATTCGTTCCTGCACGGATACCTCTGTCTCTTCTCGCGATTAAACGAGCACCCCTCGCGAAGGTGCTTGTTGCGGTTGCTCACACTTGAGAACGTCTTGGTGCATTGCGGTGTGAGACACTGGAGTCTATCGCCTCGGTTTCGGTGGTCGCGCGGCGTCGAGCGAGATGTCGTCGAACCTGCGGCGCTGCCGATGCTGCTGTTGAAGATATGAGCACGAGTCAACATTGGGACCAGGTGAAAAGCGGCCTACCTTAAGCTCGATGACGATACGTTCCGGCGGAGTTCAAGTGTGCTGAGCGACGAGAAGCTGCTCGACGGCGTGATACATGCGTCTGAGCCATGGGCTGGCGATTGTACTGTGAATGGTGGGGTAGAAAGCTGGCCAGTAGCTTGGCTGGATTGAACCGAGATGCCATGCATTCTAAGGTACTCTGCTAGTAGAGCACAGCAACGAAGATATCCCGGAGACGTAGTAGTGAAGGTCTCGGTGAAGGCATTTGCCGATCCAGAGTGCAAGCCTAAAGGAATGTTAGTATACGACTCTTAAGCAGTGCGACGCTGCACTTACCCACGATCAGCGCAAGCACGATGGAGAAAGCCACCGAGAAGAGGAGCAGCATCGTGGTCGACGAGAGAACGTCCTCCCAGCCTCCATCAAATGATGACGAAGGAGCCGGCTGTCTGACGGTAGTTTCCTCAAAGCGTTCCATATGTAGAAAGTCCGCCCACACTAGATCATCGCGTTG